TTTTTAGGCCTGATTCAGATGTACCAACTAAGCCGTAGGTTATTTCAGCTATTGCTTACTGAATAAATCATGGTTGACTTATGCAATACTAAAGTATAAATCACAGTTTACCAACCACTGTTGGCTGGCAGTATTGTATCATACATGATGCAGTGATAAAATGCAAACTATTATATTTTCATCATCAAAAAAGGACAAAGACAATAGAAACAGCAGCTTGGTGTTCTGATCCTGTCTGGATGGTGTATTAATTACACCTAATTAATTAGGGCTCAGTTTAGAGATTAGAAATAATATTAAACTGTGGTTAATTGAAAATGGACTCCTATGGGGCTGTGTCTTTGAATCACAGCTGGTTTATATCAAGTAGCAAAAGTACACAGTAGCCTTAAACTGGCTATGATTAATAGCTCTCCTCCTCCTTGTCACTTTGGCTGATTTGCTTAGCAGTGGGGAGAAGCCAAGTGGCAGATTCAACTTTTCTTTCTTGCTGGTGTGGTTCTCCCTTCATATGCAGGGGAGAAAAAAGATGAGCAAACAGGAATGGTGAAGAGAAGTTGTATAAACCAGCACGCCTCGGCAAGTGCCAAACCAGGTCATTTTTGCACCAACATTTTTAGAATCATAATGAATTTTGCTTGTCTGAAGTATAAGAAAAGAGAGCTTTTCTCCTTGCCTTGATAACTCTGTGGTCTTTTGTAAAGGAAAGTACTTGTATTGAGAGAAGGCTGGCTTGAGCAGAGAGTTTGAAGATGGGAAATGAAGGAGTGGGAAATATATCCTTGCAAGTGAGGTAAAATAACATTTATACTAGAAAACTGGTGGAGGGAGAGAAGGAGTCAAAGAGTTGGCTAGCTAGGCCAGGGATAGGCAACCTTGGCTCTTTTATGACTCATGGACTTCAACTCCCAGAATTCCTGAGCCAGCCATGCTGAGGGGAAAGGGAGAGTTTTCAAGCTGAGCCATGCTGACTCAGGAATTCTGGGAGTTGAAGTCCATGAGTCATAAAAGCCGAGGTTGCCTACCCCTGAGCTAGGCAGTGCAATTCTCCCTTGTCTCCTAGTCTTTTCTCCAGCACTGCTGTTCTTGACTGACTGAGCAACTTTGCTGGCTTTTTAAGGCTTGAATTCAAGGAATGGCATTCCAGGAACTAAATGTGAACCATCGCATGCAACGTACAGCAACACTTTCCCGGCAAGTTCTGGAGCGAGCAAAAAAACGGAAATTGTACTGGTGCCTGCCTTCTCATTACCAAAGCAGGACCTTTCGGGTAAGAGTCGGTTAGTTTTAACCAATAAGCCTTAGAGCCTGTACCAGGATTCCAGTTCTTTGCCCTGCAGGCAAGGTTTATGTTTGCTTATTTGACATCCCGCCTTTATTATTTTTATAAACAACTCAAAGCAGCAAACGTATCTAATACTCCATCCTCCTCCTCTTTTCCCCACGGCAGCAGTCCTGTGAGGTGGGTTGGGCTTGGAGAAAGTGACTAACTCAAAATCACCCAGCTGGTTTGAATGCCTAAAGCAGGACTAGAACTCACAGTCTCCTGGTTTCTAATCTGGTGCCTTAACCACTAGACCAGGGGTAGGCAACCTTGGCTCTTTTATGACTTGTGGACTTCAACTCCCAGAATTCCTGGCTGGCTCAGGAATTCTGGGAGTTGAAGTCCACGAGTCATAAAAGAGCCAAGGTTGCCTACCCCTGCACTAGACCAAATTGGATCTTTTCTTATATAAAGAAAGAAAACGGTATGTCTCATAGTGAGCAATGTTAGTAGTTTGTTTTGGTTTAAAAAGTGTCACGAGAAGCAGCTAAAACATTTCAATGATAGAAATGAATACTATTTCTGACTCTGAAAATATTTTGTGTGAATTTTTACATTTGCCTCAAGAGCTAGGGGTATACTGTGGGTGCTTAGGATACCTTTTCATTTTTAACTAGGTTTGGGGGACACTATAAGAATTGATTTAGGCCATATTTGGAACTGATAGATGCTTGATGCATCAAACTACATACTCTTCCTGACTCCCAGATGTACTCATTAAATTAAAAGTTATCAGTAGGTCTACCATTCAAGACTACCGTTAGATTCATTGCAAAAGGATTTGGGCTATTTTCTTTCTAAGTGTTGTTGCTATCCTAAATATCTCAGAGATTCGTCCATACAGGAGACGTTCTCATGGACCCTCTGAATTTTCTGCTATCTGCTACTTTCCATGCAGTCCCTCTTCTCAATAAATAATCACATCATTCTGGCTATATACAGTAGCTAAGGAGGGGGTTTAGATGAGGCAGAAAACTTGAATAAAACAGACATATGCTTAGCATATCAATTATCTGTATACAAACCTGATAAAGCGACAAGCTGCAACACGGAGTAGCATTTCAAAGGAGACTTTATATTAATGATATGCCAGAGTATAAAGCCATATGTAATTGTTCTTGTATTTTGGAAGCCTGTTTCTATATCATCATATGTTACTTTTTCTTTTCATCATGTGCTCTGCATGTACATTTTATAGTGACATTTTGTTTTTGACAACAGGGAGAGGCTGATGTTTCTCTTGAAGCTGCTTTTGCTGCAGTTGCTGAACACCTGGCTTCTATCTCCGCAGTGTGTGAGGTAACCAGTTCTATAAAGAGGCAAAATGCAACTCTGACATAAAGGAGTTCTTCTATGATCTTTCTGTGGGCTACCTTTAGGTTTGGCCTTTTCTCGGTGAAAGGTTAGTCTCCTGCCATTCACAGAAAATGCTGAGACCCAGGAGAGGCCCTTGAAATAGGGAAGGCAAATGTTGTTTTTAATTATTTCACTTCTAGCTTCTGCAGCATTTTCCATCTTGTCCCAAACATTCTTCAACCCTTCAGAGCAGATCTCTGACTTACTGTATGCTGAAAAGACTGATGATTTGACTGATCCCTTTGAGAATGTAATATGAGCAACCCAGTAACATTTACAATTACTTAATTTCTGGGAAAATCAGAATATCATGTTAAAACTATCACTTGTGAAATAACACAATCCCTTTTTTCTTGATGCCAAACTTCTGTTTCATTTATGTACGCTTCTAGTAGCTGTATTAGAAAATCCATTGCTTGGAAGAAAGTGCAGGATATAAATATATTTTATTTTACATCATATATTATTTCATGTTAAACACATGAGCCAAGAACTCCTGTTTAATTTTGGTATCCTGTTCACTTCGCCTTCAGAAAAGTTTAGCAAATGTTGCCCGTACAGTTTCAAGGCTCTGTGTTTTTAAGGCCATCAATGTACAGTAGCTGGTTTTAGTTGCATTCCCTACCAGTTGCATCATTCCAGCATTTTGAACTGCATATATGTGTATTCAGTACTAGTATATATTCAGTCCAGAGACAGTAGATCATTGTTCCAATTTCAAGAAGAATAATCCAGTTCCAAAGAGTAGAATGCAAGCATTTTGTTACAGGAATGAATGTAGCTTTTGGCTTAGAGCAAGGGTAGGCAACCCTGGCTCTTTTATGACTCGTGGACTTCAACTCCCAGAATTCCTGAGCCAGCCATGCTGAGGGGAAAGGGAGAGGTTTCCAAGCTGAGCCATGCTGGCTCAGGAATTCTGGGAGTTGAAGTCCACGAGTCATAAAAGAGCCAAGGTTGCCTACCCCTGGCTTAGAGTCACTTTGGCAAGATGGCCGGCATATAAGTTTGGTAAATAAACAAAAAAGCTTCTTTTTCATCTGCTCTTCTGAAGGCAGAATGTGGAAGCAGAGCATTTTGCAAGGAGATTCTTGCTCATCAGGTCCCAATAGGACAAGTCTGGCTTTGAGCATTAAAACAACGACATGGATTTAAACGGGGATGTGAATGTGGAGGGTTGCTTTGAACGCCACACGTACTTTAAATTGTTTCATGTACACAAAGTGGGTTTAGTAATCCCTTTTTCATCAACAACTTTCCTCCAGAATTACTACTGTTCAGTACCACCATTTCAGTTTGAGGAGAATGAAATTGAACATATTTTCCGCTATCACAGCAGGGAGGCATCTAAAAACTTGCTAAGAGCATTTGAAAATGAGGTAAGTATCCTGAATGTTGCTTTCCTTAAAGGCACAATTTGGTTTTCAAGGGCAATGAAACCTTCCATGCATTCTCTTTAGCCGGGATTTTAAAAGCTAGAATTGGGTGAATGAGCCATTGGGCCTTCCCTCATATGATGCCACATTTTTCTTTCTAGAAATTATGAAGGAGGTTGGGGAGATATTGCTGTGCACATTGTTTTTGTAAAGTTCTTGATGGGTGTCCTTGATACCTTCTGGCATTTACTCCTGCAAAGTGTTGTTTGTGATTTGGGCAAGGATGATGGCTGATTATATAGCCTGAACGTAAGTCACTTCCAGACTTGAAAGCTATAATGTGTTCTCTCTAGGAAAAGAAAAATGCTCCAGCAGTGGAAAAGCAAAATGTTCCAGTAGTGGAAAAGCCTGAATGTCACAAAACCGAACCAACTGCTTTAACAGAACCAACTGCTTTAATTCCAGCTCAGCCATCTGTATCAGAAGCAAGTATCAAGTTGCATTAGATTGTGTGATAGGGCTGGGGAATCTGTGGCCATCTGGATATTGCGGAATCATATTTCCTAATGTTCCTTGCACTTAGGCATGTGGACTAGAGTCATAGAATCATAGGGCTATAGAAGGGACCCTGGAGGTCAACCCTCTGCCCAAGGTAGGAGTCCTTATACCACCCCAGACAAATGATTGTCCAGTCTTTTTTTGAAAACCTCCAGTGATGAAGCACCCACTCATCCCAGTGACTAGAATCACTGAGAACTAGATTGTTAAGGCTAGTTGCGTTTTGCATTTTCTGTATAGTTCATTACCAGCTTATATTTGTTGACAAAGTTGCAGATACATTAGTTTTCATTTGCACACACACAAAGACACGCACACATATACACACATTGAGACAAACTTTCAAAATCAAGAGCAGAGACGGAGCAAATCTTGTGTTGCTTGAACAAAGGTCTACATATCATGCTATAAAGCATACAGATTGAAAGATTTATTGAAAAAAACATGTAATCTTTATGGGTACCCCAGTGACACAACAGATTGGGATATAACATACTAGATTTGGGACTGAAAACTCAACAATGCCAGGAAAATTACTGCCTTAATCTCTGATGAACTGTTACAAAATATATTTCAGCTCAGATAGATTGATCAATAGACTAAATTCTTTTTCACGCAATGCTACTAAACTTAATTCATTTCTTTGTTAGGAATAATATCCTCCTGATGCAGAAGTTTGTTCTTGTGTTTTAAAATCGAAGGGGTTTTTTTTTTGTTCATTGCAGGAAATCCTCATCGAAGTGTCACCTGGCTCATACATAATCAACACAACTTCATATGATGACACAGTCAAAGAAGCACACCTAGTAAATGTTCAGCCAGGGGAAAGTGTAAATCTGGTTTTTCATTTATCTCCTGCTAACGACAATTAAAATCAATTTCAGTGTCTGAAGTGTCATCTTTTCATACCTAAGATATTTATCCTTTTGTTGAGTATTCTGCTCTACCTTCCTTTTTAACTGTTATAGCTTGAACTTGATTAACATTTACTGCAGTTTGAATCATGAATGTATTTTTTTACTTTTGCACTATGTGATTCTTTTTACCTAATAAATTGTGAGAAAGATATTACATTCTTATGAACACTTGATTCTGCACTGTGTTTTGTTTGCCTAAAATTCTGGAAAAGTAATTTTATTTTGCTTCTTTGTAGTCAGAACAAACAGTACATTCTGGCTAAAGGGAAATGACTAAATCCATTATACTCATCAGCATCTAATGTTTAGTACAAAGCCTGATTCCCTTTCATTCTTTTTGTTGTGGCATGACTAGTCTCAAACTTAAAAAAACAGTTTCTTCAAAATTACTTTATCCTGGTGCTGTTCAGGAGTTCGATAGTATGGCAACCAGAACTTATGAAATAGCTAAGAGAATCTTGTAAAGAGTGCTATTGTTTAGTGACATCTTGAACCCTGACAGAAAGGGGGGGAATAGCAATTCTATACATAATTAACCTCCCCATGATGAGCTAGTAATTCCATGGCTCAAGATTTTCTTCATCGAAAGATGCCTTTGACGAGACTCTTCAATGGTTTCAAATATAGCACTGTGGTTGTACAGAATTGGTGGAAATCCATCTGTGGATGAAATGGCTTTGTTGTCAGCTCTTTCTTTTCTGCAGCTGCTACTGACAATGTTGGCTCCTATAGATTGATATTATAACAATTATAGACGGAAGGGTTGAAATAGAAACTTGAGTCTACAAAACATCAGAAATCCACAAGAAGAGCACCCAAGATCCATGAAGAGGACTCGACAGATGAGCCCTGCAAATCATGTGATTTGTCACTTAGCATAATGTGTGAACCCAGTCAAATTACTAGTTCTGTTATGAGTATTATAATGACTAGAAAGGGTAGTTATCCACCCCATGAATCTGCTTTAGCTGGATTGGTTATTAACATGAAATAAAATTAGACTGTCAGTAACATTGTTTCCTTGACAGTATTCTCTTAGAAATACTTGGCTTTTGCTTGTTAGTTGATTTCAATGTCTATTTTCAATGAAGTCATGGAAAATGAAAGGTTGGTTTAATATCATGCTCTTAGAAGCAACTTTAGCAGAACTGCAAGAGTGAACTGCCTATACCAAAGAACTGTTTATCACGTACAACACAAAAAAGTTAACATACTGAATGCATCCCAGAATATATAGGAGCATGGACTGACTGGCAGCATGATAATATATAACAACCTAGTACTGACCTGCTTTAATATGCCTCTGGATGTCCGTAGGAAATTTGTTGGCATTTGTTCACTTCATGTATTTTGTGTGTATTACAGGTAAGGGGAAAACTGACCTTTCTATTATCACGGTGGCCAGTTTGCACTGTTGCAAACCGTACCTATGGTTTGGCTTTGAGATCCTTTTCCTACTGCAATGAAAATCAACTTTGACTTGAAGTGGGTTCCATGGAGCTCCTTCCAAACTTAGCCAAGGGAGCAGAAGCAGCTTTTGCAAAGATAAATCAAATATGCCATGGCTGGAATGCTATCTTCCAATTGTGAACAGAGAGATGGCAAACCCTCAGCATAGAGAATTAAAGGATATGTATGGGTGACATTGTGTTCAACTCACCTCTGACCCACCCAGAAGGCGGTCTGCACTTGACTTTTAAGAGGCCATTTTGTAGCTTTTTCCAGTGCAAGCCATGCTATCTGGTCTGTCTCAAGTGCATCCTACCAAGGTAAATTGAGGTGGTGGTAGCATTACTGGTATTGGCCACTTGAGGCCTTACACCTTGCCCCAGGCCAGGGGTAGGCAACCTCGGCTCTTTTATGACTCGTGGACTTCAACTCTCAGAATTCCTGAGTCAGCATAGCTGACTCAGGAATTCTGGGAGTTGAAGTCCACTAGTCATAAAAGAGCCGAGGTTGCCTATCCCTGCCCCAGGCCCTGCCTCTTGTTTTTTCAGGGCCATCCAATTTTATCAGTAGAAGATTTCAGGCTTTCCTTCTTCTCTTTCCAAATCAAGAGTGGCAGAAAAAGAAGGTCATCTTAATTCTGGTTTCTCTCAGAGAGCAAAGGAAGAGGGACAAGAGTGGCATTTCAGCCAGGGGCCCTGCAGTAACTTTAAGCTTTCCTCCCCACACAGCACAGGTGCCTTCCTTCCCTTTCTTCCCCCACTCCAGTGCCTAACCTGTGGGAGAACTACAGGAACCAAATTCACTGGGGAATGGCTTTACCATGGGTTTCTGTAGCCAGTCCCCTCACAGTAAAGCTTTCTACAGTTTATTACTGGGATGCTGCCTGAAGAGCTGTTTTCACCCTCTCCCTTCCAGTGAAAAGGGAAATGGGGCATGTGGCTCTTTTTAATGCCAGGAGAACTAGTGAAAAGAAGACTCACTTTGTTGCCTGTCCTCCACTTCTCTTATTAACCATGATTGGCAGAAGAAATCTGCAGTGGGGGGCAGGAGAGAAGGACTCCATGGGATTGGAGAACTGGCAGCAGAAGCCCCATGGATCTTCTTGTAGTAGCTAGCACCAGAGGCAAGATTCCCCCTCCCAATTCTCTCTTCCCTCCACTTATGGCTCAGATGAAATTCCTATTCTACTTTATTGAGTAGGAGTTGAAAGTGCAGTCAGCACACTTCTTAGGGTGGCATGATTTTTGCCAGCTCCTGCACAAAATGTCACCACTTTACAGCTGCCATGTAGCTCTCTGTCATCATGAAAAATTCTTTGTTTTTTTCCTGTTGAAATAGACTCATACATTAGATGTTATGCATGGTTGATTACTCTTTATCATCCAAACAAGTTATTCCTTAAAACTAGCCAAGCTAGTATAAGTGGTTATTGCCTTTTCCTCAAATATGAAATTAGATATGAAAGTGTCTATAATGGAGTACTTCATTTTCATTAACACTATAATATTCATAAATGTCTCTGCTTTGCAGGCCAAGTCTGGAGAAACTTCAATCTTTGTGATGTTACTTTATGGAACTTCCAAGCATCCTCAGCTAGCATGATCTACAGTAAGTTGCAGCAAGCAACATCTGTAGGTGCGAGCAATGTCTTTTTCTTTTTGGGCCCCATATGATATATGTATAAAGACAAAGAACAAATTTAACATACTAAATTGCAGAGTGAGCCAACATTAGTTAATATACACTCACTTGAGATAGGGACTGGGTTTTATACATAATGCTAAGAAATCATGGCTAAGTCACAATAGTTTGATTTAAGCAACACACTAAGCCAGAGATATTTGAATAACCCATTGTGACCTGATTGTCACCCTGTTTGTGAAACCAACAGGTTCTAGATATCTATTGGAGATCAATCAAGGGAGATCTTGTGTACCTTGGCTTTTATAAACAAAGGTGGGTTGACTTCTCTTCCAGTACTTCCACTCTGGTCTTCTGGTTTCCTGTAAGGTGGGATTTTTAAAAAGACTAGAATCTGTGTTCACTGCTTGATCTATCATTGTACTCTTGGTGCTACTTTTTTCCCTTTCACAATGAGACTCTGAGGAGGATGAGGAAGAGCTGGATAGCATAGCAGCATGTTCTACTTCGGGAGAGGCTTCTATTGCTAAGAATGGCGTTGTAGGCTTACTAGTGAATTTTTTTCTTAAATATCCAGAGGTTAATTCTGCTAAAGAGGGCCGTGTCCAACAGCCACTGTATTTAGAGCAGCAGTGGCCACAGTAGGAGACACATTGCCTGTGTCCAAGCAATGAGCATGTGTGATGGAAACCACTAAAGCAAGGATGGATAAAACAGCAACGTCTGCACCAACACCTCTGGAAATCACCCAAAGTGCATGTTGGAATAGTTGGAATAGTTTCATGTGAACAGTTGTAGTAGCCAGGCCTGTGAACCTGCCCCTCCAACTGCTTCCTGCTTGTGTAGGGCAAATGGATCCTCTCTACAATTCTCTTCCACTGCGCTGGAGAAATCCACAAAGCGAGACCTAATGGAACTTTGGCTTTCTTGCCATTCCAAAAGCTGACTGTAATTTCCTCATCTTCTTTTTCTGTTGAAAAGAATATAGAATGTTTGTTTAAAAATGCCAAGCCTGTGTTCTTAACAATTGACTTTATTGCCTTACCAAGATTTTTTTCATTCTTGACTATTCCATCTCATTTGTGAGAAAGGATTTGAGTAGGGGTTTTTTTTAAGCAGAGGGAAAAAAAACCTTTCTCATTTAACACGACGCTCATGTGTTGGCAGTCACAAGGTAGTCACAAGGTAGCTAAAGGATGTGTATCCTATTTTCACAGAACAAGAACTTCTCCATCTGCAGCCTCATTGGCTTCATATCACATGGTAAGGAATCAATGAAGTCTTTCATGGGTTTTTCACATCAGGGATAGGCTGCCTTGTGGACTGCAGAATGATGAAAAATACCCCAAACTCCAGCACTGTCCATTATTTCACAAAAATAAAATTAAATCTAAATCCCCATCTCAAAATATGTTAAAATATGCCAAGAAAAACATAGAAGAACATACGCATTTTTTTTCAAATAGGAAAAAAAAAACTGGAAAATCAAAAGAAAGATTTCAGTCTGAACCCAATTCACTTAAATTGTACTTGCAGAATACGCTAAGGCAAAAGGCCCTATTAAGAACATTAATCTGTGTCGGTTACAAAATCTGATTTCTGCAAATACTGCAATCCCAAACTGGCAGCTATTTCAATTTCAGCAGACACGGTGAGCCTCATACCTTGGTTAAAACGCAATATGTAGTGTGGGGGGAGAGAAATGAGAACGCATATGCTCAGTACCAGAGCTTTTTGGCTTAGTCACCATCTTTAATTACACTTTATGCCCACTCACACAAAGAGCTGCTTCCATATTCTCTTTAGGTGGTATTTTGTGAAGAGCATGTGCTACAACACAACTTTCCACCAGATGCTGTCTTAACAAAACATACCAAGAAAAAAAAACTTCCAAGGGGTGTTATACTGTTGTACATATTTGGATCAGTTCATTTTTTAGTTTTTAGTTTTTTGTTCAGAAATAACATTTTTCAAGTTTTCCCATTTTCAGCAAATAATGCCTAGATAGAACCAAAAAGCTCTCTCTCTCCTTCTAGAGCAGAGATTCAGAACTATTTAAAATGCTAAACAATATGCATAGTTCTATTATTTTTACTTCTTCTGCCCATGCCTTTGGCTGCAGAAAGCTGCTCCCACATACTGCATAGTCTACTACTCATGTGCACCCAACTCAAAAGAAAATGTAAAAGTGTAAGAGTTGGGAATAGGGAAAGGGAAGGGATTGGTGTGTATAAGGGTATGTGTGTTGCTGACAAGTCTTCAAGAGAAGCAGATTACTTAAAACAAGACAGCTGGCTGTGATACATAGTAGACAGTAACGAAACACTGGTGATTGCACCACAGCTGGTCCAGGGCCTTAGATCCAACACCAGATGAAGTTGGAAAAGAACAGGGAATATGGGATATTGCAAACAAGAATGCTATGGACATGGATCCTTAACTGCATTAATCTGCTTATTTCTATGGAAGATAAAAACATTGCATGGAAATATAGGAAAAACTGAGGAACCTATTTCAACAAAAAGCCCTGAACTCTCAAATTTCTCTTGTATTAGAAATTTGTAATAAAAGACTTAAAGATGTGTAGGTGATTTATCAGCCTATATAGTTTTTTCTTATAACCAGAACAGGTGAAATAAGGAGAGATACAATTGCCTATAGTGACTAAGATTGGCCTTCTGGTCTATTATCTGCCTGAGGAATATGAAGTATTTTTTTTTCTTCAGGTTACAGAAAAGCCAAGGCTGAGTCTTGTCCAAGATCTCAGAAAGCAAATTGAGGAAAGATTTCCAAATCGGACCTCCAGGCTCCTAGGAAAAAGAGGGAGGCACTTGCAGGAGCAATTTATATCTCAGAATGAGTGCCCAGAGAAAGATAAGAAATTCTCAGCAGCAAAACATTCTTAAAAACAAATATTACAGCACTGAGTCACGAGGAAATATGCTGCCACAAGATTAGAGGAAGTCACAAGGAAGGGATTTTTAAAGAATAAATTCTGCAAATCAACATTAAACAAAGTACTGCAAGGTACGTAAATAATTTGCAGGCTCAATTCAAAATTAAAACAAGATGTACATAGTGGGACAGTGGGACTCTTCTTGTTTTTTAAAAGCCTTAGTTGTTTTTCATAGATAAATATTGTAAAGTTGCAACTTGCCAAAGATGGAACACATTCGGGATTGTGAAGGAACAATTCATTTAACTTGTACAGTATAAGCTATCCAACAGGGGCTGTTATGATTTGCATGCCAAAAGCTTACTCTGTTCGCAGTCTGAAAATAATATTATGAATACGAAAACAGAGACAATGTAAGATGTAACATTCTTTATGTTCAGAAGGAAACATCAACGTAGCACCATAGAATGACAGGAAAATATACTGCAAAGGAATATTTTCAGTAAAACTATAAAGGGCTGTGATAGTACATAAATGCTAACTAAATTTCAAAGCTGATGGGCAATTTAGCAAAAGGTGTGAATGTTCACGCTTGCTACGCTGAATTCAAATGTATTGACTTCAATAAAGCAAATGCAATTAAACCCTCTCATTTATTATCCATGAAAAAAACCCACCCACAAGGCAACCTCCACAGAATCTTTGTGAGCTATTTCTTGTAAATATGCATAGAAGAATTGATTCTGCCACAGAAACAGGTAAATTACCTAGTGTGACGTAGCTTAATGAGAGATAAAAACCAAGTGTTATTAGGATGTCGGAAATCAATTTAAACTTCCCAGCAGGAGAAGAGACAATGCAGCAGCCTCAACAAGAAGAAACTGTGATACGTGACAGGAAAAGGGTACCTGCGTCAGAAGGAATATAGATGTTGAGTCAGGGGTAAGATTTTCAGGAGGTCCAAAGAGATGCCACTCAAAAGACTTTCCTTTCAAGCCAAGGAGGAGGGCACCCAAAGCCTCCTCACAGCAGGACATGAGAAAATGCCAGATGCCGAAGCACAAACATAGCTACTAACCATAAGAGAAAAAACTTTTGTGATGTGATAGTAGTCGTGAACAGATACACACACTTGTAAGAAGGGGGTTGGAAGATCAATCTCATTGCACTGTCTTAGTTTCAGTAGATGCAATAGTTGTAGTGAAAGTGAGTGTAGATTCCTTTCTTTGACATGTCTTCTTCAGTTAGACACTCATGGCTGGCTCAGTTCCAGTTCCTGTTCTCCCCCCCCCCCTAAATCTTTTCTTCCTTCTGTGGTAGGTATTATTCCATGTTCCATGTGGCCTAGTGAACTACAGCATATGGCCTTTCATTCTTTGACTGGATCCAAAGGAAGCTAGATCAGGTTTTTAACTTTCTATCTCAATGCAAATTCTAATAAAGATTTCCTTCTTTTTAAAAGAGAAGCACCAGCCTATGTTTATTTCCCTTGGCAAACATAGCATAAAGCTACTCCCCAAGTATGTATGTATGTATGTATGTATGTATGATCTTGAGTTTGGTGCACCCTGTCGGCCTTCGAACTTTTTAGTTCTTTTCAACCAGACATACCCTTCTGAGATTTGAACCTGGGCTGTCTGCATGTTAGGCAGATGTATTAACCTCTAGACCACAGGCTCTTTCTCACTTTGTCAGCTATGAGACAGGGGAGAAGAATTATCTTGAGTTTATCCCTTTCATCAGGGTGAAGTTAGGGCAACTGAATGGAGCTGAGCATTTACTGGCTGGATGCCCTTCCTGATGACTACATGGAGCTCAGAGCAAATATTTTCTCTTTGCGCCCAGAGAGAGAATTACCTAGGATTGAACTCACGGCCTCCTGATTGTGAGGCAAGAGCTCCACCTCTAGGCCACCATGCCACTCAGAAAGCTACTCCCCAAGTATATGGCAAGATAATTTCAATTTTACCTCGCAGAGGATCTCTGGTCTCCATGCCCTGGAGGACAGTTCCTGGGCCATACCTCTTCTGCTCTGGTTCCCAGGGGGCCATCACTTTATCACCAGGCAGAATAGAATGTCTCATTCCATTCACACATTCAAGGATATCACTGCTGGCTGCTTTTTGCAAAGAAGGTGTGTCTTGCCCCTCTGCAAACTGTACCAGAAATGATCTTTGCTCAGCTTCCTATCAGAAAGAAAAAAATATGTTTTTAAAAATAGCACAAATAATTGGAAATTGTTCCTATTCATTACTTAGAACCACCCCAACTTCATTCTTAGTTGGATTTCTCTTTGAGTATTTGACCTATATATCAGGCAAAGCTAATATAGGTCTCTGTTTTCCTTTTAGTAACCATTAAATTTTACTTCATATGTGAAACTCATTCATAGTTTTTTTGGCATGCAGTTTTCTTCCATATTTTACAAGTGCTTTTACTTTCCTGAGTTATTTGGAGGAAAAAGCAAACAGAGGTAGTCTTTTCAAATGATTTCAAAAAATAGATACCAAAAATAGATAAAAGACACATTTTGAACAAAGTTAAAAGATGACATAGCTAGAGGGATCCAATATGAACAAATGAGTTTGTTCCTGTCACTTTGGTATTAAATCATGTATTTGAGTCTAAGTATCATTTTGTGTAACAATATGTGGGAATGACATTGAGGGACAAGGGGCAGAGATGCTACCTAGGGAGTGATCAGAAAAGAGAGGGAGGAACCCCCAGTAGTTTAATGGTTAGAGAAAGAAACTTAGGAAAGACCATCCCTAATTGATCAAGGTGTTAAAAGTGACTGTGGGAGATTTGTATTTTCAGACTTGCATGATTCTGTTAATTTGCCTTACAATAAAGTCGAATTGGCTTATCTGGTCATGTTTCCTATCTGGCCTATCTGGAAGGGCTGACATTTTGTGCATAACACAAGAAATAATATATTTTAAGCTGAAAATGTTAAATGGAGAATCTATTACCAATCAACCATCCTCTAACTACAAACTGATTTTTTTAAAAAAATAAGACAAATTATTTTGCAATGATTAGCTTCCCTCTGTGGACCAATCTTAGCCAAAAGAAATAACACCAGATGTGTTTGTTATAGTCTGTTCTACTCCACGTGGTTATCTGGGGTACCCTCTGAGGTAAAAATTTCCAGAATTTGGTCCCAAAGTTCATTGCTGTTTGATCTAAAGGAAGAATTGATAAGTTCAACATAACCAGAAATCACAATCCCTGAAAATCTTTGCTATTGAATTGAATGCTATTCAGCAAAACCTTCCCAATTAGGATTATATTATGAAAAGTAACTCAGCATATCCATACTATTTAAATAGCTGATTCTGCAGTAAAAGCAAATTGAGCTAACTTAGTATAAAATCAAAAGATTCTCTTCCTCTCACCCCACCATCCCCTTGGGTTTTTCTGTCTGCTCTAGGGCTGTTTAAAAGTGAGAATGTTTGTTTTCCTAATTACACTCTGTCTTTGTATGTAGAATGAGAATCCAGCACCAAGTTGATCACACAAATGCTGGATTCACTCCAAAGTCACTGCCTTCTGAATAGCTGGTTCTTTAGAATTATCGGATGTTGAGTGATTGTGGTGAGCAAACAAACCTGCCCCTTGCTTTTCAGGAGGAACATACCATATTTGTTTCAGGTGCTAACAACTAATGAATTGAAGGCAGGCTTTCTTTTCCACTGTCAAGTTTATATATCAACATGCCAGCTACCTTTCCAGCAATAATGCTATTTATCAAATATCACTAGTTGCTGAGATCCTCAGAATAGCACAAACCCTTCTAGAATTCTGGTGCTATTGAAGAAATAAAAGAACCAGTTTTAGCCAGATGAAAAGGTCTAATAGGGTAATCTTATACCTCTAGTTACAACTATCTCTGTCAGTCATGTGCCCTTCAGATTGCTGTTCCTGCTACAGTATTCCCAGTTGGCATATTTCTGTTTGGCTGGGAATAAAGGAGTTGAGTGTATCTAGGGATACTAGGTTGAGGAGAGTTGGAGTAGGATAATTTATACTATGAAGTTAGTTATTAATATAAGCCATGGATAAGGAAATTGGCGTTTTGGAATAATTGGGTAATTCCCAGTTTCTCTTTCCATTGCCCCCACTGCTGTTGGGACTGTTGGATGTTGATGTACAAAATATCTGGAGGGTTTAGGCTTGCTTACTCTTGGCATAAATTGCATGTTCATAAGATAGTGCAAGGTGGGACCAAGCAAATAAATGAAACCTAGAAATGTGGAGAAAGGTGTATATTGGAAAAATTATAAGGCAACTGTCATGAAGTCTTCTAATGTTGTTAGGGTTACACTGTTACAACTGGCTAGAAGGCATTCCCTAGATTGTTAGACAAGGAAGAGGGACTGGATGTCACTGATTAACAGGCTCTAAACCTTGACGGCACCTGCCCTAAAATAACATAAGAAAGATTGGGGTGGAAGGTGGAGGGTGGTGGGTAAAAGAGAGAGTTTGTGATATCTGGAAAATGAATACAATTGATGTTTATTGTTATTATTTTTGTAGCCTAACATCTGATGATTTCAACAGTATTCATTATTTTTTAGTTCATTCTTCAATTTTTTACAAGAAAAGCAATGGTGTCATTTACTATATGGATAGCAAAGGCATTCATTCCACAATGATGTCACCTGAATTTTATTTTATTTTACTTATTTACTTATTAAATGTATATGCCACCCATCTCACTATCAGGCAGCTTGTTGTCCACAACCACTTACATTTTTAGATTACATTTGTCTTGGTGTGATTCTTTTGCCCTCTTATCTCTGTCCTTGAATTGGTTCAGTATGAATTAAGTGCATTAAGTATAACCCTATGAACTAATCCCTTGTTGCACTAAATTGAGGGAAATGGCTATTGTGAGTAAATACATTCAGTTCAATTTCCGTAGTTACTTTATATTACCTGGTGTACATTTAATAACCTTTATAACCATGTAGAAAATAATTTTGCAACTTGCCTCTAAATCTTTTATGATTGTTCCTTGGTAATAATAACAGTCAGTTCCTTTTTTCGCCAGCACAGGACTACCAGCATCCAGTGACCTCTCCAAATTCTGTCCTGTCCTACGTTTTGCATCAAGGAGAAAGGGACAGTAGCTGTGACACAAACACCTTGGAATAAAATGAAATGATGTTAGCTGAGAATCCCACAGCAAAAATCTAATCACATGTAACAATAAATGTTATCTATATTTTTAAGCTACACATTTTTAAAGCCCAGTTTAAATCCCAGTTTGTCTGCAGATATGGTTAAAAAATATCAACTTGCTGGCCATGCCAGGGCAATAAATGTTCTATTTTTATGCATGTTCCATATGAGTATCATGGCTGCCATCTTGATTTTATTTTAACCATACATTGAGGGCAATAGAAGAATGGGACGACAGAGAATGAGGTGGCTGGATGGAGTCACTGAAGCAGTAGGCTTAAATGGACGCCAGAAGATGGTAGAGGACAGGAAGACCTGGAGGAACGTTGTCCATGGGGTCACGATGGGTCGGATACGACTTCGCAATTAACAACAAAAATGGACATCCCTGATCCCAGGAGGAAAAGGTCACACTTCATATTTCTGTCCAGCAAATTCTGCTAAGTGTTGCTCCCAATTGCTTGGGAGAAAAAAATAACCAAGCAAGAACCTAGAAGACTATATTTGTGGAATTCTGTGATATAGAAAGACAGAGATTAGCGTCCTCATCTCTTCTCATTTTAAACAAATAAATATTTTATTACCTTGTTGTTAGAAGTGAGCTAATGCCATATGAAGGATGCACTAGCAAGCAGCCACTGCAGATGGAACTGGGATTAACTATGACATTTCTGTGACTAGATTCAGCTTGCAGGGGCACTGTACAGCAGCATCTGTGGCATGGCCAAGAGGCCAATGTACATTCACTCATTCTTTCAGGACTCTCTCTACAATAAAAAGAGCATAGCCTATTATACAAATGGAGAGATGTGCATCCTTTGCTTGAAAATATATTTAAATCAGGCTCTTATCCACAAATAACTGATCTAGATGAGCCACTTGTTTTTCAGAAATATGAGGCAATATTTGGTGCAATTGCAAACTAATCCATACTTAACCTAACTGTTAACAAAGTTCTGGAGACTGCTGCAAATGTCATAGAAAGATCCTGAGAGCCAAATACTTCAAATCAATGAACTTAATTTTTAATTGCTTCACATCATCCCTCCCAGATCAGTCTGTTCTTCTTGCTAACTCCCCAAACTATCTTTTGAATTAGCTCATTCATTGTCTTCATTCTTTTTCTCCTGTTCCTGGAAGCACGATCTTTTTGCAGCCAATTAAGATAAAAATTACCCATAATAATCCCAGAAGTGCTTTTTCCAAAAGGCAACTAGACTTTCTTGGTTTTTTTTTCCTTTGAAAGTGTTTTGTTTCTCATCCAAGAAGCTTCTTCAGTTCAAATAGAGCTAGAACTAAAGAAGCTTCTTGGATGTGAAGCGAAAAAACCAAGAAAGTCCAGTTGCCTTTTGGAAAAAGCACCTTGGGGACAACTATGACCTGGATAGACATTTACCTGTAATAATATGTTAGGAACATATTGGGATCCTCAAACTATAGGCCATGACCCGTAAGTATTGCAATGGGAAGGTCACAAAAGTTTTTAAAATGATGGGGCTTGCTCAGGCACAGTAGAAAGCAAAATCCAGGGCACGTTTGGAGATAAACTTATGGGTCTCTATGAAAATCAACTACTTATCACTGCAGTTTTATTTATGTATTATTTACTAAGATTGGGGAGGACTTGCACACATCCATTTATTTTAGAGGGCTGCAAAGTTTGAGAAACCAACCTTAGCCATTGCTACCTAAGTGGACTTTGGGCTGGCTATTCCTTTTATATCCAGGGCCTTAGGATTTGCTGAGCATAGCTAAGTGATTAAAGAATGTGCTACCATTATATTTTAGAGCTCTGGTGCATATGACATAAGGCACATTTATGCATGTTTTCTTCTATTAATAGTTGGTTTCTATATAATAATCAGCGGTCAGGAGAGAAGTAAAATAATGTGTTTCTTGTTTCTTAAGAAGCTACTCCAGTTGCTCTTGGGGCCATCTGGTTTTTCTTATTTGTTTATGCTTACTAAAATTATAATCCTTCTTTCCTTGCTGAAATCAGTTGGACTCACCTCTGAACTGGTATGATAGGATTGTGCTCTGCAAATAGCAACGTAACCAAACTTTCTTTATAAATGAAGCACTTCTGTAATACGTTCTATACTGGTCAGAAGGAAAAGAGGGGGAGAGACAGGGAAGATCTGATGTTTGAGTTTATTCCTTTTTTTTTAAGAAGGCCAAATTCTTTGTGATGTTTATACAGTGAAGGGAATTAGCCATACAGCATATATTAACAGGTTCTCTTGTTCACGTTGCGAGATAGATAGATAGATAGATAGATAGATAGATAGATAGAGAGAGAGAGAGAGAGAGAGAGAGAGAGAGAGAGAGAGAGAGAGAGAGAGAGAGAGAGAGAATCCCAACTGGTGGGTTTACTTAATTTAGGAGTCCCTTTTTTCCTCCCTGCTTTAATATGATGAAATGCACATAAACAATTTGGATGTTTTATTTGGATCAAACCCCAAAGATGATCCCTTTGGGGTTTGACAGACACAGCATGCTGGGAGACTAACAAAGAGATGTTGGTCATGGTGAGTCACAAATGGGTAATCATCTCCCAATTTCTGATGCAGAAATGTTGGCAGGTCGAGTGTTTTGCATAATTGGGCAATATGTCTAATGTCTGGAAATAGCTCCAAAATGACTAGGGGAGGGGGCTTTCCTGGTAAATTAAATGTATTCATGAAACGTATGAAAATTCTTTTCTTAGTACAAGTAAGGCTGCAAGTTATACCTGTTCTCTTAGAACAGGGGTCCTCAACCTTGGCAACTTTAAGACTTGTGGACTTCAACTCCCAGAATTCCTCAGCCAGCAAAGCTGGCTGAGGAATTCTGGGAGTTGAAGTCCACAAGTCTTAAAGTTGCCAAGGTTGAGGACCCCTGCCACTAAACTCGGTAGGATGCAGTGGAGTGCAGGCATGTGAGTTCTCTTCAGTCAGACTATTACAGTAATGCAAGTATCTCACAAGTGCCTGATACCCAATCTTCTCATTAGTTTGCAAATTGTCAAATGCTTGGAAGTTCCTGTTCCTCTTCCCCTCACTTGCAAGCACAACTACCAATGTAGCTTTCCTCCAATTAAAGGGAAGTTGGAAATTTCTCTCTAAGCTAAAGAGGGGTTGACTAGATGATAGCAGGAGCCCTGCCCCTTCACATCTACTGGTGTTGGCCCATCTGGTTTGGGATCAATCTGATCCTTTAGTTTCGTCCAGTTCCTCTTAAATTAGTAAATTTCTATTTTCAGATAAGATTATGCATGTGTGTAAATCAAGCAGAAAGTTGTAAAAGAATCAAGATTCTCATATAATGTTCTTTTGGGGGGGTTGCATTTTATGTTTTTATTTTTATTTTAATCACTGCATCAGATCTCATCCTTTGAATGTTTATTTTGAGTTTCACCTTAATGCAAAGTTTCTAGAAGTGGGATATAATATTAACGACAATAAGAAGACGAATAAATACTGTAGACGAGTTACGGTATCACAATGTTATGTACTTTTTTTTTTACATGTATTCTTTTCTTGGCCATGTTTATGAAATAGTAGCCCCAAACGTCTTTCCTCATTTGTAGCATATGGGACATGTGCGACCTGAGATGAAGATCAAAATGTTGCTCCCTATCTTTCAAGTTGACCATATATTCAAGAAATGGACATAAAAGATTACCTTACTTTAAGTCAAAATATTGATCTAGCTCAGTAGTGTTCCCCTCAGTGTCTTTTCATCATCCTCAGCCTAGCACCACTCCAAATTTAATGGGACGAGACCTCTCCAAATTCTCATTGGCGCATGGTCTGGTTCAAGATAATGAAAAGTGAAACTCAAACACATCTGCTTCTAGCCCCACCCATATTATCAAGATTGAGCCTGTATCACACTGATGAGGCATTATTCACACACATACATACATACACACACACACACACAAACACACACAATTTGAGATACTTGGGTGAAATAGATCTTTACCTAACATTGGAAATCCCAGACAGTCTTTCTGAAGAAGCTTTTCCAAATGAGTGTGTTATCATTAAAAAAAAAACACCATTTCCTATGTAGCCAGTCACACCAATTCATTTGGCAGGGATACTTGGAGCACCACCTTTGAACCTCACATATATACATGGGAGAAAACCATTTGTCAGATAGCCTGGCCCCAAGTTGCTTGAATATTTAAATATAAAAATCAAAGCATTTTAAGTGAAGTTCAGAAACAGGCAGGCATTGAATGTTATTGCTGACAGGACTCAGGACAACATGTTTTATGCACTCTTGAGAACAAAAAGCACAAGGAAAATCACATGGCAAATACATCTTCGTCATTGCAATATTTCACTGCTGATTCCCAGGTTCCTATAATTACTTTCTTACCAGAAATACTGTATGGACATCTCCTAGAAAGACTGTCTTCACCAGATAGCTAATGATACAGAAAGCACTTTATGTAAGTGCTTGAAGAAATGTTTTGATTTGTTCAGTGTTCTCCGCATTTATCCTGACTGACTTTTCAAAATAAAGAGACTTCATAGTGACAGCCAGTGAGAGATTATTTTTGTGACTGTCAAATTAATATTTACAAAGTGATAGCAGCTCCAGGCATTTCAAACTTTAGCAGATATTCTGCCAAAAATATTTGACATCACTTCAGAGAGATATACAATTTGACTTGGTATAGTTTGTCAGGATTAAAGAAAGCAGATAACTTTACCAATAACTGTGCTGTAAGCATTGGTTTATTGTTTTATTCAACTTCCAGAAATAATTTTGAAGGAATTTCCAAATGTAAAAAAAGAGTTTAGATTAGGGGTGTCAAACTACCGGCCCACGGGCCGAACGCATCACGAGGAAACCACGCCCTCCCCATTGCCGGCAATGGGGAAAAAGTACCGATATATCGCACAACATCACGTGACGTCGCGAGTTTGACATGTCTGGTTTAAATGATATTCTCCCACAAGAGATACTCTGATTAAAAGAATCTGGAGTTCAGCCAGCAAAGAGTGCATTACATCATGTAACATATTTTAGATACTTTAGATAATTGTCATGTAACAGGATAATTGTATGTCTATAAGTACTGGTAGGTAAGTATCCTTAGCTATCACTGTAAAGTCATTAGAACTTACTTCCAAGACACAGGATGTCTTTTTAGGACTAACAAGCTTATTCAAGTAGCCTGGAGCCTCTTTTACCAGCCTCTCTCTAATATGGTCTTCTAACTACCCCTGTTAATTCTCTGAAGAACATTTACTTGTTTGCCTGCCTTGCATTTGGGTAATCAATTACATGTTCTGAATGACCACTTCCTGATGGCTGTATTTCTCTGCATATTAGGATGAAATGATAAAATAAAGCAGAAAACTGGACAGCCATTTGTCCAAAATGGTATAGGGTTACCTGCCTGAGCAGGGGGTTGGACTTGATGACCTCCAAGGCCCCTTCCAACTTTATTATTATTATTATTATTATTATTATTATTATTATTATTATTATTATAGGATTGCTTTTTCAATTATTTTTCAATTAGTCTTTCTTTAAAAACCCATCTTCAGTATTCCTGTTTTCTTTGTCCATCAATGCCCAAATAGCACCGCTGTATCAATGCAGAGCAGCATTCTGTGTGTTTTTATAACTCTGATATGTTTCTTGTAGACAAATTTAAATTCTCAAGAATATATCTGGGAATCAATTTGCATTTACAATATTATTATTTTTTTAGTTTTGTTGAGTAACAAAAAATATCACTAACACTGAAGCCCTGGTTACTTTATTTACATTTCACTGACTAACCCTTAGGTAATTATCTAAGAAAAATACTACAGCATTAGTCTTTTTAAAAAAAACATAACTCTTAAATAATAAAGAACTATAGAATAGTATAGATATACTTTGCTACTCCAGCATCTTTCAAAAAGTCTCATATGGTGGAAGATCCTAGAAGCTTACAGCAGAATTCACTTGATTGAATGAAATTACGGTAAGTGATAATAGCTAACAAGTACAGTACTGGCAGAAATAGTACTGGGTATGTCAGTTAGCTTTTTGTAAAATCACTTGGAAAATTGGAGAGATTATCAATGTAAAAGCAATTTTAAAAAACAACTCACCAGAGTCTGCTGTGCTAAAGAATTACTGAACTGGACTGCTCTTGGCAATATTAAACTGCTTTGCTGCTGGGCAGAGTTGGTCACTAATGTTTCCTGTTACTAAGGAGGTTGCCATGGACTCATTGCTACCAGGAATATAATGTAAAAGAGCAAAGCTAATGTACACACACACACACACACACACAGTTTGTCAGCAAAAAGTGGTCTCAATCTTCCTTCTCAGATTACTGACATCAGCTAAAAACTAAGCAAGAAGATCAGAGAAGGAACACTGAGGGCTGACAGAAAATGTTCTTCAGCATCCTACATCTGTGTGTGCGATGAAGCCTTCCTTCCTTCATGGTGCTACTGCAGAAAGAGCATTTGATCCACAATTAATCCTACTCAGTCCATCCATCCTTTGCACACTTTTTTCAAGAGGGAAAGATGAGGCCTAAATAAAACTGGTAGAATCAGCTTCTTCCAGCATTTTTTGCAGGCTACTTTCAGTTTGTGCCTATTACCTAGTTGCTAAGACAGTTTTCTTATTCATACTCAGTAGAAATTGCTTCAAAAATATCTCAGCTATGAATGATTTTAATCCAACTGGAGACAGAATCTCAGAAAATTGAAACCTAGTACGTTTGTCTGTTTCTTCATCCCTCAGCAAGGTCAAATCTGAAAAAGGCCTCTAAGGTGTCCATAAGGTGTGGTCCAAAAAATCAAAATGGTGACTTCAAAAATAGAAAGTCTAATGACAGTATCCCAAGACTCATAGGCCTCTCCTCTTAGTATATGTCTTAAAGTACTATATTTTCTACACACATCAGCTTGCTTTGAGAGATGTAATTACAACACCAGTTTTTGCCTTTTAGGCAAATATCCAGCAACTTTATAAACTTATTTGGTAATTTATTTGTCACCCTCAAGGGAATTTTAATTATTGAGTGGATTTAAAAAAATCTTTATGAAAACTGTAAATAAAATTAATGATTTTCACAAAATACCAGAATCTTTCAATCCTTTTTATTAAAATATATATTTACTTAAAATGCACTGCTTGAAATGACACAGTGGGATTATTTCCTTGCCCCTTGGTAATAAAAATTGCTCCCACATTATTGTTCACTTTTAAGAATCATTTCAAATTCTAGACGATGTAATTATTTGAAATCTGCACAAACCTGCACACAGGCATCTCACAGGCATATGTGATACTGTCTAGCAGTGGTAATCTTGCAATTAGTTTCGATCTCTACGGAAAAAATATTTCTTATTTTGATATTTTCTAGTTTTGATCTATACAAGCAAGATATTTTGGGGGTTTTCAGATCTGATTGCATTTGCCCTGTGCAGAAGAAATTATAAAGTCCTTGAAGATGGATCATTTTGAGTACTTCTTGAGGGGGGAATGGTGAACTCCTCTGCAATCCTCCTCTGAATCATCGCAAAGTAGAGACTGAAGAAACTTGATGTATTTAATTGCAGCTCTAAGTGTTTCAACTTTGCTGAGCCGTTTGTCTAAGTATTCTGGTGGTAAGTGGTGCCTAAGTTTGGCATAGCCTTCGTTGACACATTTAACTCTCTGCCTTTCCCTTTCATTTCTTTTTCGGATGAATGCTGGGCTGCAAGAGTAGTCACAACTGCCAAAATTTCCACATGGGACTTGAAATGGGAATCTACAAGGATTGCTGTAGAAATTCTCAGGAGTTGGAGGATCTGCTGTTAATGGAAGTAGAGGCAACTCTTCGGGGCCATTGAATTGACCGAGGTCCTCTGGGCACAAATGAAAAGTGGCAAAAAGGTCTCGATAGCAAAATCTGGACATCTGTCCCATGTACGAGTCACTGATGGTTGGCAATTTGTCCATGGCATCCCAGGAGATGTTCCTGGCTATGGTGTCTTAGGTAAAGCTGAAAATGTATAAATGCATATCAGCACAGTAAGTCACAGGTTGCCCAAGACTAGGTGTGATTGTCAGTATTTTTAGTGCACTTCAGATGTAATGAATATATGTGGGAGAATGTACAGATGTAGCCCTGACCTACTTAGCTGTAAAATTCTTATGAAAAAGGGATGTGATTACATTGCCAATATACATGATCAGTGTTTACACCCCAGCAAATCTTTACTCTTTACCTTGATTCACAAATGTTAAGATTGACGAAGCTTCACAAATTTTAAGCTTTACAAGAAATGTAAGAATTTCCATTATTCTTTCTTTCACGTAGTCCTCATGATTTGAGTCTATACCTAACTTTGCTCATCTTATAATTAGTTTCAGGGAAAGGGGATATATTCTACACAGTTTACAATATTAGTAACTGTTCTATAAAATCAAACAGACATAAATACGCTTCATTTCGGTTGGATTGGGTCTTATCTTTTAGCACGTACATCCTGTTTGGATAATATGTGATGAAATATTTATCAGTCTTCCAATAATAAAGGGCATTGTGTTATGTGTATGTCTTATTCTACTATGCTGCAACATTCTATATCAGCACTACAGAAATAACATTTATCCTTTCTTAAGCATGGATTTGTTTATTTATAAGAAATCATATAAGCAATCAAAACTTTTCTTGCAAGGAAGATTTCTTCATAACAATATACCATCAAACATTTCACTTTAAGTATGTAAAAGTAATGAAATCGTATCAGCTTAGCCAATCTATATTGTTAGGATTTCTGTGGTACACAAGAAATCTACCTAATCAGTTTAGATACACTAATTGCTTCAGAACATTTGAGAAAACTACTTCATGTTAGATGAAGGTTCAGATTAACTGCTTCAATATCAGGCAAGTCCTAGAGTTAGAAAACAAGTCTAAATTCTTGATTCCTATAAGATGAAATGGAGAACTTCCAAAATCTCTTAGCAAATTCTAAAATATTGTACAACCACTGAGCTCTAGAGCATCACACTAGTATAAATCATATTTTGCATTACAGAAGATAAAAAAGCCCCTGAAATATTTAACTACATATATAGTTTAGATATGTAAAAATCTGAGGTTAACATTAATAAAAGCCATGCAAAATTTGCTTTTAGCCTGGGTGCCTTACCTGACTTCCACAGTCTTATGTTTAGTGGATTGACTCAAAGTCAGCTCTAAATTTATACTCAAATGACAATATGCAAAGTAGTTTACAGTTAGATCTGCTCATTTCTGGTTTAGCTTCTTCCACCCACACTGTAGCTATAAAGGCAACAAATATTGATGGATTTGAATGCATAACATATTATACGACTGTTAATATCTAATGTGTAGCATATTTATATCCTTCCAAGATATGCTGTAACATTCTAATTATAGATGCATTTACTAGATCTGCTATGTTTATGTAGGTTTCTTAAGTTTATATCATTTTCATCATCAAAATAATAGCTTAACACTGAATGTTTACTGTCTGAAAAAATTAATTGAAAATGTCAGAAAAAGTTGACAACTTATTAGTAAGACTCAATGCCAGAAGACTATCCAATTATCAACAGAGCTAGTAATGTAAAGAACTGACTTTAAGTCTTTGATTACGATTCATTAAAGAAATAAACTCAACTTTTAAACTGAAAAGAAGTGAACAATGTAAGAAATTAATGGAAGAGTAGGCTCTTAACAATTCCCCCACCCCTCATCCCAACCTGGCTGCCTTCCCAGTGATGGGTTTCTGGTTGTGTTTATAATTCCAAATATATAATTTAAACTCTATGGGAATTGTGGGAATTCCATATGGGCAGAAAACAGCAAGCAATGAAACATTAAACATTATTAATCCCAGATGTTGTCAATCTTAAATACTAATCTAATCCCAGTTCGTTTTCCATTTAGTAGATCCCAGTTAGCACCATTGTTTTCCAATAATGGACATAATAGACAAAAGCAGAGGCAATAGCTAGAGAGCTGAGGATAGGAAAATTAAAATATGAGTACAATCTAGACTAGGGGTCCCCAATCTCGTTTGCGGCCTGGTACCGGTCCACAGTCCATTGGAAACCAGATTGCACAAGTGGTGGGTGAGTGGGCAAAGCTCCATTTGTGCAAGTGGCATGTGTGCGCATGCGAAACCATCCCCCCCCTTGCGGGTGCTGCTACCCCTGCCAGTTCGTGGAGCTGGAAAGGTTGGGGACCGCTGGTCTAGAGCATATATGATAACAGCAATACTAATTCCAAGCAAGAAAATACAAGGAATAACATCTCAGTCAAAATTTCAATAGCCAAAATAACCACAAAAACACAGTATTTTGTGGTTTTTTTGAAAAACCAGGATATTTTTTTCAGCTAGGAAAGGTCTCGTACTTAAAGCTAATAAGGAAATACTTCTTATAGTCACATATGAAGTTAGATGGAAAGGCTATACAAAAATCTTTTACAAATGGGATAGTGGAATGAGATAAACTTTTGTAGAGAGATAATAAATTCAGGAGGTGATGCTTCTAGAAACCAAGGTACAATATACAGTAAACCAACTTTCAAATAAGAAAGGACCAAGTACAGTTGAACTGTTTCAAACTACAGAAGAAAAACCTCAGTCTGATGATTTGAGGACAAATAAACTAACTGATCCCTTAAAAAAATGAATGGCTAGCAAAAACTGATATTTGAAGCTAAGGAGGATATTTGTAGCTCAGGGTTGATATGAAAGGTCCTTGGTGCTCTCTGAGCTTGCTTGTTGTCTTGCAACAAGCAAGCTCAGTCTTCCAATATCTCAGGGGCTGCCACAAAAAAGAGGGAGTCAAGCTATTCTCCAAAGCGCCTGAAGGCAGGACAAGAAGCAACGGGTGGAAACTGATCAAGGAGAGAAGCAACTTAGAACTAAGGAGAAACTTCCTGACAGTTAGAACAATTAACCAATGGAACAACCTGCCTCCAGAAGTGGTGAATGCTCCAAC